ATGTCGCGCTTTTTGTGCTGAGAGCAGGCAAAAGCTGTTGTTAGCGACCGGCCAACATTGGAAATTGCTTGCTATGCGACTCGCTATTTATGTTTTACCGAAAAAACTACATCAACGAAGAGCTTACGTTTTAGTCGCGGTGTGTCAAAACCTGCAGTTTTACTGAGAAACTTGATTTAGTGAGGTGTGATGGTTCGACAAAGTCTTACTCTAGAGCTCATCAAGCGCGTTACTAACAGAAACATAGAGCGCTTTTCGTGCAAAATTCAAATATTAAGAACTGTTTACGCAAACTACTACATGCACACCTAAATTCTACTAACGAACTTCGAAAATACACTCTTGTATGACTATCAAACAGAAACTCGAGGAGAGATTCAAAACCATTGTAAAGATATCTGAGAGTTGTTCATCGGAAGCATAACACACTCCGATTTCTGACCAGTCTCTCAACATAATTTCTACGTTTTCCAATTGAAACATTGTTTGAATTTTCTCAAAAACAAAAGATAGACTAGTTGCTTCAATCTGAATTATCTGACGATCAAAGTCAAAAACAGATGATACTTACTTTCATGATTATGTCATAGACACCAAACCATTTTTTCTGCTTGCAACGAAGAGCAAACTACTTAAATTTGCATCCAAGTAATTAGTTGTCTGACACGATAAAAACACTAAATCTATCTCGCGGAACGGACAATCTCTGACACCAATTCTATTAGATTTCTTTTGCGATACAGTCAAACCCGATGAAGGCAATACTGTCGAGTGATGTCCGATACAGGACCGTTTTGGAGTAACAAACAAAATTTGTGCAACTTTAAGATCCACATGTTTAAAGATTCTGTGTCTATAATGACGCAGATCCGTTTCAAAACAAAGCTGTGATGGAGCGTGGGGAAAATGTTTTTCTGAGGTACGATCAGACTACAGACAATAGGCTCAATTTATTGATTAGCATGAAGGAATTCGGAAAAAAGTTTGCTTCGAAGATGAACCGCCGTTCGTGTGAGGCTTGAGCAAGAATATAGAATATTTTCAGTGAAGAAAACTAAGTAGTCGAATAGGTGAAAGATTCGCGTCTAGCAAACGACAATTTATGCGGGGCGATTCGACGATTTTATTCTTAGTGAAGTGTTCGAAAAAACATAAATTAATTACGAGAAAGCCCGTCAGATTATAACGGGTGAGCCAGATAAAACCGGCCACTTTTGTTCTTGTTTATTAGTCCCCTTCTATGAAGTTTCAAGTTCTCATTTTACAGTCAATCGATAGAGAATTGAATTCTCTACAAAACCTGTAATTGTAATCTCTGACAGCATTTTTCCTGTTTGAGTACCAATCAGAATATTGAAGGGTGCTGAGTTGTCGAAATGCGACGTGCTTTTGATGTCTCCTTCTTCGAGATTTCTATCCCATTGTCTGATGTTCAATAGCTAATTTTTCTAGGTAGAAGGATAGAGAATTTTGTGTTCTGTTGATCTCACTAATATAAAACTTTATACAATGTTTTCGCTGCGTCAGCTGAACTCATAATTTGTTCTCAACCGGCTTTTCAATTTTTTCAAATTAAATTAATTGTTTTAATTAATGATTTGAATTGAGAAACTTTCTTTATATATCAAAAGAATGCAGAATTTAAGTCTGTGTAAGATGGTCAGACTAGAACTCTGGATTCAGAACGTTTTACCGCTTTTATAGCCAAAAAACTAAAGTCTATGAGAAATAGGTTCAGAAGTTAGGTTTTTTAGATTTATCAGTTTTTTGCACACAAATTTTTCTAGAAAAGTGAGCTGCAAAAATGTCGAAAAATACGTGAGAAGATACAGAATTTTCTGGTGAATCTTCTGATATTTTCAAAATTCTTATAGAATCTGTTTTTGGATCAAGGCAAATATTTTTCTATGTTCAGTGTGTCGCAGTTCGACAACTCAGCACCCTTCTATATTCTGATTGGTACTCAAACAGGAAAAATGCTGTCAGAGATTAAAATTACAGGTTTCGTAGAGAATTTAATTCTCTATCGATTGACTGTAAAATGAGAACTTGAAACTTCATAGAGGGGGATTAATAAACAAGAACAAAAGTGGACGGTTTTATCTGGCCCACCCGTTACAATGAAAAGAATAGTACACGATGCACGATATGATACCACTTTTCTCATTGTGTGTTCTTCAGTTGCTTTTGTATCGATTGACTCTTTTTGTCATTCTTTAATAGAAAGAGTGTAAAAAAGCATCAATATTTATTTAATAAATCAGCATTCTCAATCTCTTCATTTAACTGACGAATTATACGTATAATAACAAAACACGTTTCTATTCTTTCAACAAAAACAAACAGTTTATGTACTTTTGTTTGAGTGAGAAGCAAAATGATCGTAGGACGAACGCAAATTCGTCCGGCCCAGTCCACAGTCTATCAACAAAAGCAATTCCAAGCTTATCGGCAGGGTCGTATTGACCAGGACGTAAGTGCCCTGAATTGAACGAAAAAGAGTGAAGCAGTTAAAACATTTTCGAGTTTTGTCTTAGAATCGCCCCAATAAACGGAATGTAGGAGTTCGCGGTGATCTAGAAGCTGGTTCGAAGAGGTAAGTTAAATGTTCATTTATCATCTTCTCAATAACACTTTCATTGGGACAATTTGTCCTTTTCAGGAGACTAGGTGGTGCGGGTGGATGTTGCAGCGGATCTACGGCCTGGTTGTATATCTTTGCCAGTGTAATCTGTGTTCTCTTAATCCTAACAGCGATACTTGTACCGACGTTGTATGGCGTGTTTAATCAGCCGGCGCCCGGTGAGTGTTATCACTATCGTGCAGTCAGCCTTAGATTTAGTCAGATGCGGAGGTTATCGAAGTAGGTATTAGGTAAAGTCGAAATCTGACTAAACGAATTACGAATCTGCTTGAAAATTGTTAAGTAGTTTCTGAAACTCGCTTGAAACACGTTCTGGTCAGATTCCGAGTCTTACTGAGTTCTAAGTTTGACTGCAACATTTACTTACAACAAAGGCTACTGTCTAAACTGTTTAGATACGACAACCACTACGACTACTACGACCATTACATCAAGATCTTATCCAAGCGGAAATGTAGCATGTCTAACTGTTTATCCAAACTATACCACTTCTTGGGGTAGGTAGAAAGAAAGAAAGGACTACGTCTTCGTGCACCAACTTCCCTTAACGACGGAGAAAAAAATCTGTTTCACAAAAGTCCATACTCTGGTCGTTCATCTAGAAACGGACTAACGGAGTTCTCAAGTGGATCTCTTTAGAGGACTTCTAAAATGCAATGCAAGGGCGCGATAAGAGCTTGAGTCAATGTCAGCTCACTATTTAAGGTGGTGGCCTTAACAATACATTCTATGGTGCCGAACACAATACTGTAAGTATATCGTGTTCAAACACACTGATACCAACTCTAACCGTCCTAGAAGCATTCTATGGTTGGAATAATGCGTCGATCTGTAGCTGTCTCAATATGGATGTGACAACAGTTGTACGAACTGCTTGTAATGCAACAAGTTGTTACTTTCAAGTTGAAAACACACTTTTAACTGATACATGTGTTGGAATTGTAAAAACATTTTGGATGTTTTATACTTGCAGCTAGACGAAATGACTGATTTGAAACAGGTTTTGTTTTATTTGCTTTTGCACAGACTATGTTTGTAAAAAGGTGTTTGAAGGGACAAAGATTTTTTATCACTACTTTAATGTAAGGTTTCGCAATTAGCATGAATTCAGTGACACGAAGGGAGACGTTCATGTCACTTTTTCTTTTCTTTTCTTCACTGCGCGTAAAATGCGAAAAGTGATTCGAATAAAGAGATACTTTGCTGCACGCACATTTCTTCAATGAGCTATTCAGAAAAAAATTTGGACCGATTCTATTCAGTGTATAAAAAGTCGATTTTGCTATAATGATACACTAAATATAATGACTCACCGATGAGTCATTGCAATGCGTCTTTTATTTTGTTGCGATACTGCAAAAATTGAAAAAAACACACACAGTGTAACGCAAAAAAAAAGATTCTGCGATAAAAGACAAAAAGCTATCGTTTTCTTGTTTATTTTTGCAGGATAAAAATACAGCGCACGAAAACGCATATAAGAACCATGCGTTTTCTGGTGTTGCGTTTGTGCTGCCAAAAACGCACATTTCTGCAGAAATCGTGAAAAAAATTTGACATGGGTAGAGCTCGTCATCTACTCTTAAAACAAAGGAGTTCGAGCACTTCTGGAGAAATGAATGGCCACGCCTTTTAACAAACTAAGCATATCTTGTCACATTTCTCTCACTCTTTCTAGAGAAAATAAAAGCTGACCGTTTGATAAAAGCAGCATCTTTTGTGTAGGATTTTTCTATTTGTTTCTTGTTTATTTTTGCGTTCTTATCATTGGTCGCAGAAGTACTTCTAAGAGTTTCTCTTTTTTTTCTGCTTCCCAGTCGGGCAATGTCTTTTCTTTCTTTTTTGTTATATTCTACATTTGTCTGACGAAATAAAATTCAAGATCAAGATCAAGCACAAGAAAGCTGGTTCCATAAAAGGAAAACTTTCGTTGTAGAATCCAAATTCTAATGTGAGTTTCAAACTCGTTTTACTGTCAAATTTTTTGGGCTAGTATTTATTCGAGCAATAATTATATCGATATGAGCAATAATTATAGTACTATTTAACAGTAATTCTTGAGCAATAAAAAAGTTGATTCGAGCAGTTTTATATTATTAAATGGACAATAATTTATTGAGTAAATGTCAATAATAATTTCCGATGTGAGCAGTAGAAAAAAGAAAAAGTACACCATTTATATTCACAATTGGAAATAAAAAAATGAAAAATGAACAATTAATTACATCAATGTACCAGTAATGCTTTCTTTGCTTTACATGGTCTGCCTCTTTTTCTTTTTGATCCAATATCCACGTTTTTTGCCTCTGGTGGCGGTTTACAATATTTTAGTCTGATAGACAAACCTATCACAGTGGGCATTTAGGCGGCGTTTTCTGAAAAAATCGTAGGTGCGAATTTTTTTGTTTTGAATAGTGGTGTATATAGTATAAACAATTCCCTATTTAATGATAAAAAAATTTTT